CATACATACATACATACATACATACATACATACATACATACATACATACATACATACATACATACATACATACATACATACATACATACATACATACATACATACATACATACATACATACATACATACATACATACATACATACATACATACATACATACATACATACATACATACATACATACATACATACATACATACATACATACATACATACATACATACATACATACATACATACATACATACATACATACATACATACATACATACATACATACATACATACATACATACATACATACATACATACATACATACATACATACATACATACATACATACATACATACATACATACATACATACATACATACATACATACATACATACATACATACATACATACATACATACATACATACATACATACATACATACATACATACATACATACATACATACATACATACATACATACATACATACATACATACATACATACATACATACATACATACATACATACATACATACATACATACATACATACATACATACATACATACATACATACATACATACATACATACATACATACATACATACATACATACATACATACATACATACATACATACATACATACATACATACATACATACATACATACATACATACATACATACATACATACATACATACATACATACATACATACATACATACATACATACATACATACATACATACATACATACATACATACATACATACATACATACATACATACATACATACATACATACATACATACATACATACATACATACATACATACATACATACATACATACATACATACATACATACATACATACATACATACATACATACATACATACATACATACATACATACATACATACATACATACATACATACATACATACATACATACATACATACATACATACATACATACATACATACATACATACATACATACATACATACATACATACATACATACATACATACATACATACATACATACATACATACATACATACATACATACATACATACATACATACATACATACATACATACATACATACATACATACATACATACATACATACATACATACATACATACATACATACATACATACATACATACATACATACATACATACATACATACATACATACATACATACATACATACATACATACATACATACATACATACATACATACATACATACATACATACATACATACATACATACATACATACATACATACATACATACATACATACATACATACATACATACATACATACATACATACATACATACATACATACATACATACATACATACATACATACATACATACATACATACATACATACATACATACATACATACATACATACATACATACATACATACATACATACATACATACATACATACATACATACATACATACATACATACATACATACATACATACATACATACATACATACATACATACATACATACATACATACATACATACATACATACATACATACATACATACATACATACATACATACATACATACATACATACATACATACATACATACATACATACATACATACATACATACATACATACATACATACATACATACATACATACATACATACATACATACATACATACATACATACATACATACATACATACATACATACATACATACATACATACATACATACATACATACATACATACATACATACATACATACATACATACATACATACATACATACATACATACATACATACATACATACATACATACATACATACATACATACATACATACATACATACATACATACATACATACATACATACATACATACATACATACATACATACATACATACATACATACATACATACATACATACATACATACATACATACATACATACATACATACATACATACATACATACATACATACATACATACATACATACATACATACATACATACATACATACATACATACATACATACATACATACATACATACATACATACATACATACATACATACATACATACATACATACATACATACATACATACATACATACATACATACATACATACATACATACATACATACATACATACATACATACATACATACATACATACATACATACATACATACATACATACATACATACATACATACATACATACATACATACATACATACATACATACATACATACATACATACATACATACATACATACATACATACATACATACATACATACATACATACATACATACATACATACATACATACATACATACATACATACATACATACATACATACATACATACATACATACATACATACATACATACATACATACATACATACATACATACATACATACATACATACATACATACATACATACATACATACATACATACATACATACATACATACATACATACATACATACATACATACATACATACATACATACATACATACATACATACATACATACATACATACATACATACATACATACATACATACATACATACATACATACATACATACATACATACATACATACATACATACATACATACATACATACATACATACATACATACATACATACATACATACATACATACATACATACATACATACATACATACATACATACATACATACATACATACATACATACATACATACATACATACATACATACATACATACATACATACATACATACATACATACATACATACATACATACATACATACATACATACATACATACATACATACATACATACATACATACATACATACATACATACATACATACATACATACATACATACATACATACATACATACATACATACATACATACATACATACATACATACATACATACATACATACATACATACATACATACATACATACATACATACATACATACATACATACATACATACATACATACATACATACATACATACATACATACATACATACATACATACATACATACATACATACATACATACATACATACATACATACATACATACATACATACATACATACATACATACATACATACATACATACATACATACATACATACATACATACATACATACATACATACATACATACATACATACATACATACATACATACATACATACATACATACATACATACATACATACATACATACATACATACATACATACATACATACATACATACATACATACATACATACATACATACATACATACATACATACATACATACATACATACATACATACATACATACATACATACATACATACATACATACATACATACATACATACATACATACATACATACATACATACATACATACATACATACATACATACATACATACATACATACATACATACATACATACATACATACATACATACATACATACATACATACATACATACATACATACATACATACATACATACATACATACATACATACATACATACATACATACATACATACATACATACATACATACATACATACATACATACATACATACATACATACATACATACATACATACATACATACATACATACATACATACATACATACATACATACATACATACATACATACATACATACATACATACATACATACATACATACATACATACATACATACATACATACATACATACATACATACATACATACATACATACATACATACATACATACATACATACATACATACATACATACATACATACATACATACATACATACATACATACATACATACATACATACATACATACATACATACATACATACATACATACATACATACATACATACATACATACATACATACATACATACATACATACATACATACATACATACATACATACATACATACATACATACATACATACATACATACATACATACATACATACATACATACATACATACATACATACATACATACATACATACATACATACATACATACATACATACATACATACATACATACATACATACATACATACATACATACATACATACATACATACATACATACATACATACATACATACATACATACATACATACATACATACATACATACATACATACATACATACATACATACATACATACATACTTTTATATGGTGGACCATAATAAAGCATCCTGAGTAAATATTGTAACCATTACGTGCCTCGTCTATTATTTTTTTTTGTTTGTTTCCTTTAACAATGCACAAATGGGATCTATTATCAGTGGCAAGTCTAGGATAATTATTTTCGATTTTTTTTCGAATATAATATATCATATACGATTCCTCGTTTCGTAAAACATTAAATGTTTGATTTTCAACGTATTGTAATCTATTTTTTCCACATTAACGTTGCCCCATAAAATTCCTCTTTTTTTTAGTCTTTTCGATCTACTAATTTTCAAATGCACGGAGGAGAATCAGCAGGGACATAGCTCATATTTTTCTTTATTTTTTTTTTTTTTTTTTTTTTTTTTTTTTTTTTTTTTTTAAATTTTTTATTCTTTTTCTGTCTGTTTAAGCTTCGTGCCTGCCGTAACGAGGAGTACTGTGTGTGTTTTTGTTCATATTTTTGTTTCTTTTTTTTTATTAAATATATGATATGATAAGAGCAGGAAGTACTACCATGTGTCGCAGCATGCAACGTTTGTTTCTCCATCGTATTAAGCATAGGAATTTATATTATTATTATTCTTTTTGATAACCGTAACCTTTCATTTTTTAACATGCTTATTAGATTACTTAACGATTCTTAACGAAATCTTAGAAATTAATGTGTCTACAAATAGGTCTCGAAGTAACGTACGGAAGAAAGAATCCTATTTCTTTCTTTCTTGGTATCGGTATGCGTGTATACCATTTTGGTTGCACGATAAGACATAATACGAATACACGTTGCTTCGAGCATAAATTGAAAAATCAGCAAGTAAAACAGTGCTCATTAGAGACTAGAATAATTTGATTTGTAAACATACCTAAAATACTGACGAAGTCGAAGATGATGTGACTGATTATGACGGAAAACTATTATTCTGCAACTTCCTTCCAATTCTCTTACTTTTTCACATGTTCCTCCTCTTCCACTTTCGGTCGAAGCGATCCCAATCCGGCTTTTTCCAATTTTTCCCTCATTACTTCCCTTTTTTTTTTAACTTCGTTTCTTCCTTTTTTGCATCGCATTAATTTATCTTGGCAGTTTACCAAATGCAACTTCGCTAAATTACTATTTATACTTTTTTGGTCGGAGACGTACGTTTACCTTTTTTGCTTGTTTCTTCTTTCAAACATTACTTTCATAAAACAGGGACGCATTTATACTCGTTTTTCCATTTTTTGTTTCTTTATACAGACCATTTAAAGCTGCATGCTGCAATTGTTTGTAATTCTATTGCTTGGATAGGCCCAAATCTCAAAGAACTCGATGTCATATACATGTTAAACACTTTTTCTCTTTCCTTTTTTTTGCTTTTTTTATTTTTTATTTTTTTTTTGTTTTGTTTTGTTTAATTGATTCGTTCTTCGTTGAGAGTAGAGCGACCAAGGAAATTCCACTCGCTGAAGAAAGTTACGACATATTTATTTGGTCTACCTCTTCGCTTCATGATATGTAAAGAGTGTTCAACACGAGGACGTGATGATTATTTTTAGCCAGAGTTACGATATACCCTTCTGAGGTTATTTTTAAACCACAACATCGAGAGACCTGAAAAATTCCGTCACTTTATTGCATTAGACTTTATACACACACATACGCACACGCGCATACGTGCACACACATTTGATATCGATAAATTAAATTTATAAACTATAAGAACTTGGTTCAACAGGAGAAAGTTAAAAAAATATGTGTTATTCCGTAAAATTTACCTTGACATATGGACATTCGAATTCAGAAATTAAGGAACCATCTCTTGAAAAAACAGCCACGTGAAAACGGTTACCATGCGAATCTCCTATTAATATATCTCCTGCGTCGCTAATATCAATCCCATTTGGGAAATTTGTTACATTGTCACAGCCAATGCGTCGCAAAAACTTGCCTTCCTCATTAAACACCACAACACAATGTCCTTTGAAGTCACAAACAAAATACTCTTTACCTAAATAAAAACAAAATTTTTCACATAAATAAATATTGCTCCAGCAATTTATAAAAATTTCTAATACTTTAAAATAAACAATAATTTGAAAGAAATTATTTACCACTAATTGCAATATCACTTGGTTCCCTCATATATTCACTGCAATCAAACCACCTTAACAGTTCTCCGGTATCACTGATTACAAACACTGTTGGTGATACACTATCAACAGCCAAAATGTGACCATCACTAGTTACAGCTAGGCCAGCTACAATATCGATGTAACGAATTGCTATTTTCTTTATAAAATGACCGCTTTTTGTAAATATTTGCATTCTCGATCGTTCGTTTCCTCGGTCACAAACAACAAATTTTCCACTGTTTCTCATCACAGCGACTTTTCTAGGATACCATAGTTGTCCCTCCTCCTTGCCAGGTACACCGAATTGGAATTTGAAAATACCAGTCTTTTCAAATATCTGAAAACAAATGTCAATTATTAAATAAAATAAACACCATTTTCTAAATGTTAAAAAGATATAAATACCTGAATTCTGTGATTATTCGTGTCGGCAACAATAATGTCTTCATCAGCACTTAAACAGAATCCATGAGGTGAACTAAATTGACCTTTACTAGGACCTAACTGTCCAAATTTAGATCTAATGGACATAGGAGTTAATTTCGTGTTATTCGAACGTGAATGAGCATAATTTCCAGATCCAGAACCGGTTACATTGCCAACTGTATTTCCTACTACTACAGGCATATTATGAATAGAATCTCCTCTTAAATCATCTATAAATAATATTCACATATAATTAAATCATTTCTATCTATTTGAAGAATACCAATGGCCCAAAAGAATCTTACCAGCATTTAACAGATTATTAGCAGTTAAACTCAAGTTTGGTGTGTCTACAATAGCTGGTGAAGGACCTCTACCTAGTACTAGACTACTACCACCATTAATAATAGGGTTGCCAAGATCTAAAAACAAACAAAATGAAAAAAATTATTAAACTATATTTGAAAAAATAATCACGATAATATAATTATAATAAAACCATATCATTGATTCTATACCTTGATTACCAAGTGTATTTCCTAATTTTGCAAGAGCTTGCAAATTATTAATTGCATGACTGGTAGAACTCAGATCACCAGCAAAAAAATCTACTAAATTGAAAGGTGGTGTTGGGCTAGGATTTGAACTAGGCCCAACTACATTTGTATCTCCAACCATTTCAACCTTCTCTGCTAAACTAGCTAACTGCTGCAGATTGTACTCTTGAATACTGGTAAGCCCATGGATGGAACCTGGAGGAAGGGATACAGGAGGTGGTGGAGGTGGAATATTTTGAGGACTGGATGTTGGAGGTATAACAAATGAAGGTTCACCTTCAAAAGAGGATTGCATTGATGTGGGAAGAGAAATGGGAGACCTTGTACTGATAGAACGTGGACAACTCATTGAAGTATGAACAACTTGCTGGTTTACAGAAACCCCTGGCATAGTTGTAATTGGTTCAGGAGTGGACTTTGTCACTGGTGTGCTTTCAGTATGAAATTTGCCAAACACTTCCTACAATTATATATTATACATATACTTTAGTTTTTTTTAATATATAATTGAATATGTGATATATACCTACCTTTAATGCTTTTTCAAACTGGTTAAAGTCAGTTTGGAATAGAATAGAGAAAGAAATGTTTGGTTTTGGCGTATTTTTTATCAAATTCATTAACTGTGTTCCTACAATACGACGAAGTGCAAGGATCTCCACAGCATCACCATGCTCAAGAAGCCTGGAGGTAAAGCGACAAGCATCTTCTATTTTCTCCACTGTTTTTGCAACACTATATAAATGAATAATAATCTTTTAGTAAATATCTGTTAAAAAAATATCAATAACTATTTATTACAATAAAAACATTTCTCTAACCTATGAAATGTATCCATTATTTCTAATTCCCTATCTGAATGTAACTTTTCAAGCTCAACTAATGCATTATCTCGACATTTCTCTAAAACAGCTTTATAACTTTGAAATGTCTCTACAATTAGATCTTTAGCTTGATCATGTTGTGCCTGCAGTTCACTAAGTGCATTTTCTAATTGTGCAGACACTTGATCATAGTCTGCAATGCTTGCTTTGCTCTCATTCATCAGTTTTATTAATTCTTCTTTCTGACGTGGTTCTGCATCCACTAATCGTTCATATTGATGCTCTGGTGCTTTATGCTCAATAAGCAAACACTCGTTGCATATAGGTTCCTAAATTGAACAATCAATAAAATACATTTTACAGTGTTTAATTTTAACTATTACTAAACTAGTAATAAAATAAAATTAAAATTTAATCATAATCCATACTTTGTATGGGCTCAGATATTTTTAATAAGTTTTAATAAGTTATTGTAAAATCAAGGAATAATATGCTAATTACCTGGCAAGTATAACAGTAAAACTTCATATTCTCAGAAGGATGATACTCGCAAAAAATAGGTTTATGTATTGGTATAGCTTCGTTGGATTGCTTTAGATCTTCAAAGGCCACTACCTTGTGACTTTCAAAACAACGCATAAACTGGTGCGCAGTATTGCAATTCGGACATAAGAAGTTGGCACAGTCCGAACAACGTGCAACCGCACTTTCTTTGGCTTTACACGAGGTACAGAGTACAGCCATGTTTTCAATTGCAGACATGTCAAGTATATTAGTTAAAACATAGTCGCATGTCAGGGACGCGGCACCCTTAGAGCTAATGGAAGTTTCTTGTTGACAGAGAGGGCAGATCAGGACAGAGCTAACCTTTGAGTCACCTGCCTCGTCCATCAAGAGCTTATCTAAACAAGCTTCACAAAATACATGAAGACAAGAGAGCACTCGTGGAGAACAAAGTTTGCTCCTGCAAATAGCGCATTCTTGATCACCAGTTTCACTGGTACCACAGTTTATCTCCTCTAAAGCATCTCCTGGATTGGAGGTTTCACTACAACCAGTAACTGTGTTTATATTTCGTTCGCTAAACACATCCCCATTCTCCACTTCTTCATTCTGTGTAATACCAGTTCCAGCTGAGACTGATGCTGTTCCAGAAGGAACAGCCACCATAGATGATGCCATTCTGTGATTCTCCTGTTTGTGTGTAAATATTTTTCTTGTTGCAGATAACTTTTACTTTTTACAGATTTTCGCCAAGATAACCGTGATATATAACGTTTAAGTTTCTTAACGTTCCGCTTTAACAACCGAGACGACGAATACCTACAAAAAAAAGAAATCCACAAACCCCTTTTCAGATTGTAAAACACGAGGACCAAGACATCGTAGCATCGATCGTTCAATCACGAAACAAAACACTGTGTCACAGTTGGCTTCCACCAACGGGGAATTCTACTATCGTATACATAAAATAATGCTTGCTGTAGCGCACACCAACGAAAAAAAATTAAATCAACACAC